AAAAAAAAAAAAAAAAAAAAGCTGTGTAATAGAGGGAAAAGAAGGATGGGGGCTCATAAAGAGAAACAGAGCCCCACAGAGAGACACCTGAACCACAGTGATGCCCGAGCAGAGGAGAGAAGACCCAGGAACTTCAGTGGCTGAAGGCCCCACCCTGGTCTAGCCTCTGCAAAGCCACATGTCCCTAAAGTCTCCCAGAGCCAGGCCTCCCTCTTTGTCTTTTGAAGCCAGAGACAAGTTTAAAATACATCCAAAAAAGATTTTGACATGCCTCCCTTCAAAAGAGGAAACCTAATTCTCTCCCTCAAATGGAGACCAGTCTTACTGACTTGCTCCTAATAAATGTGGCAGACAGTGTGTGACTTCTGAGATTATAGAAGACCTTGCCCCTTCTGCCTGGCTTCCTCTTGGTCACTCACTGGGAGAAGCTAGCTGCCATATAGTAAGGACACTTCAACAGCCTGTGGAGGCTGAGTGCGGTGGCTCACACCTGTAATCCTAGCACTTTGGGAGGTCAAGGTGGGTGGACTGCTTGAGCTCATGAGTTTCAGACCAGGCTGAGCAAGCACAAGACCACATCTCTACTAAAAATAGAAAAACTAGCCAGGCATTGGGGGGGGAGGGGGGCTATAATCCCACCTACTTGGGAGGCTAAGGGAAAAGGATTAATTGAGGCCAAAAGTTTGAGGTTGCTGTAAGCTATGATGCCACAGCACTCTATGGAGGGCAACAAAGTAAAACTCTGTCTCAAAAAAAAAAAAAAAACAGCCTGTGGAAAGATCCACATGGGGATAAAGTGAGGCCTCCCACCAAACAGCCCAGCAGCCACATGCCATTCATGTACGTGCGCCATCTTGGAAGCAGATCCTCCAGCCCCAGTCAAGCCTTCAGATGGCTACAGCCCCAGCCTGCATGTGACTGTAACTTCACAAGAGACTCCAAGCCAAAACCACTTAGCCAAACCACTCCCAGGTTCTTCTTCTACCATGAGGTGATAAATGATTGTTGTCGCTTTAAGCCACTACATTTTGGGATAATCTGTTACACAGCCATAGATAACTGATACACAGCCTGACTCACGTGATGTATTCCTCACAGATCTTGCGGAAGTGATCTCGCTCTGGGTCACAGCGCAGGTCGTCGTAGAGCTTGTTGATGAGGATAGAAGCCAGCATGCGAGTGTTGTCCGTCAGGGGCAGGCAGGATGGCAGATCTGGAACCTGCCCCACCACCTTCAGGATCTTCCTCAGGCCTGCAGGGTAGACAGCAGGGAGCATAGGATGCTTGCTGAGCTCTGCGCTCACAAACACAAGACCATCCCATCACCAGCTTCTCTCCAGCCTTCTCTGCAGGTGACACATGGTTTATGAGAATCATGTAACGATGTGTAAGAGAAGGGAGTGGAGAGACCCAGGTTCAGTCTGGGCCTGGTGGCTTCTGCCCATATTCATTTTGGGAGACCAAGGTGGGAGGATCACTTGAGCCCAGGAGTTTCAGACCAGCTAGAGTAACCCAGCAATATGCTGTCCCTCAAGGGGAAAAACAAATTAGCCCAGTGTCAATTAGCCCAATTGCTCTTGCTCAGGCTGGTTTGCTCAGGTTCAACTCCTGGGCTCAAGCAATCCTCTCACGTTGCCTGCCCAAAATGTCAGGAGTATAGGTGTGAACCACTCGCCCAGCCAGTTTTTTTGTTTTTTGAGTTTTTTAGAGACAAGGTCTCACTGAGTCACCCAGGATGGAGTGCAGTGGCATGGTCCTAGCTCACTGCACTCAGCTACTGCTTCACAAGTAGCTGGAATTATAGGCATGAGCCACCGCGCTGGTTTAACATTTTTTTTAATTTTATATATATATTTTGAAATAAGAGTCTTATTTTGTTACCCTTGGTAGAGTGCCATGGTGTCATAGCTCACAGCAATCTCAAACTCAAGCTCAGGAATTTGAGACCAGCCTGAGCAAGAGTGAGACCCAATCTCTATAAAAAACTAGCCAGTGTTGTGGCGGGTGCCTGTAGTCCCAGAAGGCTGAGGCAAGAGGATCACTTGAGCCCACGTTGGTGAAATCTGACTTGTTTTTTCACACTTGCCCCATTTGTTAGGTAACTCCACCGAGATGTTTTAGGGTAGGTTTGGGTACTTTCTGGGTGTGTTCAGGCCCTAACTTACATCTTCCGCCTTTTCCCAGCTCTTTGGTTGGGACTAAAGACGCCTTCCCAGCAAGTCTCATCGCTTTTACTTTCTGCTCAGTGCCCAGCACCCTGGTGCCCACCTGAAAGGCCCCAAACCCTCCCACCTCCTCACCATTATCCACCACGTAGACAGTGCGCGAGTTGTCGTGCATGGCAAGGTCCTTCCTCGGGACGTTCTTATTGAGCAGGTTCAGCGCCTGGTCCCTGCCCAGGCCAGACACCTTCTTACTGACCAGCATGTCCAGCAGGTGGCTGGTGATCTGCTTCAGGTCCTTCTTGGTGTCTGAGGAACCGGAGGACAGAGGTAAATAGACAAGTGTGGGGAGACTGAGATTGAAGACCCAAGAGTGGCACAGGGTGAGGCTCTGGACACACTGAATCCGCTGCTTTCTGGACATGTAAATTTCCCAGGAGAGTATAGTATTGCCCATATCAGCCCCCAAAGGGGAAGAAATTCCTATACAACATCCCCCAGGTGGTCCTCCAGACACCCAGAACACTGACTTCTATGACAACCCACTCCATCCTTGGACAGCAATGGTTCTTAGAAAGCTCTTCACTCCCACCAGTGACTGGCAGAGCTCCAGGGACACTTCCTATAGTTTTTAATAAACTGATTGAGTAAAATGTTATCCAGAGAGGAAATTTATACTCCTCATAGACATTTTACTCCCCACAGACCCAGGCATGCTGAGAGCCTGAATTCGGGCCTCTGCCTATGACACTAGGACCTTCCCTCTCACTGTGGATCTAACAAAGTAAATGCCTCTTCCTGATTTTGCCCCGTCTGACCTCCCTGAGACTTATGGATTTTGGTACTCATTCTGGGATGGAGCCCAAAGGGAGGTAGCCAGGCAGAAAATAAACAACATGTCAGATACAACAACTGCTGGAGGAATGGGGCTCTGTAACTCGGAGAAGGGAAGACAAAAGTGGACGTGACAGGTTGTTTTCCGTTAAAAGTGTGTCATAAGAGTGAGATAACACAGCTACTCGGGAGGCTGAGGCAAGAGAATCGCCTGAGCCTAAGAGCTGGAGGTTGCTGTGAGCTGTGACACCACAGCACTCTACCAAGGGTGACAAAGTGATATGCTGTTTCTAGAAAAATAAATAAAAATTTAAAAAAAGACTAAGATAACAGACTTAGTCTGTGAAGCTCCAAGAGGCACAGCTGGGACCAGGGGTGGATAGAAGCTCGAAGGCGAGAGATTCAAAATCGACAGGTGGAAGAATTTCGTAGAAGAGATGCCCACCCCAAAGCAGTCGTGGAAGACTGTGCACTGGTGGCCCCCAGGAAGCACACTGTTGGAATTCACGCTTAGGGGACCTCCTCCCACGCTGGCCCCGGGCTGCTTATGTGACCCGTGACACAACCAGAGACTTAAAAAGCCCTTGCACACGGGAATTTGTCCATTTAGAATCAGCCACCATGTTATAAAGGAACCCATCGTGGCCACTACAGAGGCCTGGGGGAAAAAAACCGAGGTCTCCTGTCTAACATCTTTAGTTAACCACCAGCCATACAAGCAGAGCCATCTAGAACCTTCCAAAAGTTCTAGCTCAGAGAAAGGAAGGGACTAGCTGACCACTGCTGGAGGAAGTCAGAGCTGTATCAAGAATCAGGGCTCCAAAAGATTAATATTAATAATCGATAAATAACTCAATGACTAAATTTTAAAAATTGATATCCCAACAGATAAAAATAGGCAACAACGTGAACAAACCATCTAAAGACAAAGAAATCCAAACGGCTAACAAAAATAAAGAAAAATGGTCAAGCTCACCAGTAATTTCTTTTGATTCAAACAAGATAACTTTTAACTAATGAATTGAAAAAAATATTTTATTTATTTTTTGAGACAGTCTCATTATGTCACCCTCAGTAGAGTGTCGTGGCGTCACAGCTCACAGCAACCTCAAACTCTTGGGCTCAAGCAATTCTCTTGCCTCAGCCTCCCAAGTAGCTGGGGCTACAGG